TGCTTGACAATGTCAGTGCTTGTCACTGCCAGCCGCCCATTGTCACCTCAACACTAGCAACATACCAGCAAGACAGGCATCTCAATACACAGTGCCACTCACACCCACCTCCACCTTTGATGTCAGTGCACATTTCTGTGCTACCTATCCTTGCTACCATCACCTCTTCACTACCCTCACTTTCACTACCCTCTATTTTATCTTAGTTATCAACTTTGTATTTTATTACTTATAATAAATTTGTTCTATATGCAATATTCACAAAGATAGTTATAAGCTATTACTCTGACTATAGAGATTATTTATTAAAATGTAACTATGTCTTTAGAATATGAGAATAAGAGTGAAAATCTTCTATAAATAACTAAATAAACACTTGATCCAATTGTGAGTCTTTTAATTTTATTGACATATGTTTGCGGCAAGGCGCTTTCAACTTGTCCATATGTCGGGCACCCGCCACCCACCGCGCCGTTCCCGGGGCTGAGTCTTAAAATTTTGACAGCAACGCATTCGATAGTGCGCGGAAATTTGTCGGATCAGGTCACGTGATATCACGTGTCGTGTCTGGGGGGGGGGGTGAGCTATGGGTGCTCCAACTCTGCCTGTACTCCATCGACCGTTCTCGCACCTCCCTCCCTCCCTCCCACCACAATGGCAGCAATATCCAAGGAATCCTCACAACATCAGCCTGGTTTCATCTTTGATTTGTCTAAACGACTCTACATTTTGCGTCTTACAGTACTCTCCTCCTTCATCACCATCATAGCTATTCTTCAATGCCTCATTCAAGAAGGCCCATTTAACTACCTCTGGTTGGCTCTCGCCGTCTTCTGCTTTGTACATCACATCTCAAGGTGATTTGTTCTACTAGATCAGTTACAATGAATCTAAAACTTGAGATGTTGATGAATTTAGCACTATCAATTGGCGTTTCTTTTACGGTGTTACAGATCTTACCTTTATTGCACTGGAAATTACCGGTAAGTGCCTTAAGTTGTTAACATTCATATTTTGGCAGTATTTCATTTAATTTGTTCTTCAAGGTTGGATTATCCTTGTTCCTGTAAACTTATCGTTGGATGGAATAGAGCCTCAAGCAGAAACGGTAGCAACTGCATCACTTTGCGTCCTCTTCATCGGAATATTGCTGGCTTGCTTATGGCGATTGGAGGCTATCTATTGTACCCGTGGTCGATTCCTCTTCACGCCGTTAGATTTGTTGATGGACAACAACACGAAGGGCATCCGTATAAGAAGTTCTGTGATCATAGGACGTGCGGTGTGGAGAGAACGCTTCACGTGAGTTTCTTTCATGGCCATCTTTCCTTTGAGATAGTGGTTAACTAATAAACTCCAACAGGGGTGAATACCGTGTTATAAGGATCATCAGAGCATATTTTTCTGCAATCTGTCTAATCGGGATAATTCTATTCGCTTTCTTCGAAATGATTATCAATCCCATCCGAGAAAGTCAGTTAGTGCCGACTAAAGAATACCACTCAAAGTATTCTGAATTCGGAAGCAAGTCCTCAGCTCCCGTATGGGGTATTGTAGCGGTAATCATCTTATTCGACAGTTAAGTCTATTGATAAGCGTCGAGAGCTTACTTGTGATTTTTAGTATATGGGTGCTAACAACATTCTTCCTGATGCTCCTGGTAAACTAGAGGATGCTGTCACGGTAACTCCTCTATGGGATGAATCATGTACGTCCACACTTTTATGTCGTAAGAATTAGAGCCCTGATGAGCTAGTTATAGTTGAAAATCCACCACCGTGTCAGACCCTTCTCGGATATAAATATTCTGGTCAATACTACAACGATAATAATCGATTCAATCCCTCAATCCGAGCCATTACCATTTTTTGTCCAAGCGCCAGTATTGACCGCAGTAAATGTTCCAATTATGAGTCATCATGTGATTAAATAACACAACCCTACAGTTGCTATACCGTTTCAAGTATCCGAGTCTGGATTAATATTATCTCCAGAGCTGTTGGTTTCTGTTAACTTCTCTATGCTGGGAATTCCGGATAACGATAGGATCGGAAATACTCAGAAATCGACAGTTCTCATTGCCGTCGGTTTGACTAATGATACCAGGGATGTTATTCGAGATACCCTGCCAACTCCTCTTAGTCCTGGACTCCATGTACTAGGTGCAGTCAGGCAACGCATCAGACAACGTCTTAACAGCGGCTCGTTATCGTTCCTTGGGCTATTCACTGTATGTTTCAAGGCTAAATATTACTCTCTGATCAAACTCATAAATTTAATAGAGTTCTCGTACCTTTGTGGTTGGTGATATTGTCAGCTTGACTCCGGACCCATCGACCTCTGCAATTATTCCACGAGGTCCCGGTATGGCTTCACTACGCATCCACGTCCTCTTTGAATCGACGGATTGGACTATATCGCAAGAGTACCGAGAAAAAACGGTCTGGTCAGGATTCGCTACGCTCGGTGGATTCTGGACTTCGATAAGTAGTGGATTTGCCTTCTTATTCGGTGCGACCTTGCTTCTCGTTACATTCGGTAAGGGGGGAAATCGCATTTAAAATACTATGCGAACTAAGAATACATGCATTTACCAGGGAAAAAACCACTCAGTATTTTTGGGGTTGTCACACAATTTCAAGAGAACCGCATTCGAATGGCATGGAAAACGAAATATGAGCAACTGGTACAAGATGGTTTTACTCCTCAGCTATCTGAAAGAGAACTATTGTTGTTGCTTAGAGCACATCTCATCGATTTCGGTCCTTTAGACAAACAGCCAACATCCACAGGTCATCTCCAGCCAGAGCCTGACAATCATCCACCAGGCACACAGAATATAGAGCTGTTGGAAGCAAGAGAGGTTGATAATGAAGCAAACTCACATAATGAAGATGCAGATACCGAGCATGGAAGGAGCAGTGGAATAAGGGAATAAAAGTGAACCGAATAAACCGTGATAGGTGGAATGCGATCGTTTTAGTTGCATTGCGGAGGCTTTGGGGCATGTAGGTTGAGTCAAGTATCTAGTAGTACCAGGATTTCATTTTCCTTTGAAAATCAGCTGCCAGCAGCATTTTGACTCTCCGAGAACAAGAATAAGTAACGCCTGATGTACAGCTGTTGTGTTTACAGTTGTAATTATGTCTTTGACTACACTTTCATGTTTCCTTCAAAAGCAAGTCTCCAATAGCATTTAGACACTTTGAGAAAGAGAACAAGTAAGGTCCCCGTGGCGTATGGTGCACAGCTTCCGAATTTGAGCTCATGAATGTATTGATAGCAGTAAGTCCTCGTTCGATTCGAGGCCGGACCAATAAGAACCTCCATTCTTTCGTTTTTCTACCGAAAAGTAGTCGTCAATAGCATCTAGACACCCAGAGAAAGAGAGTAATAACCGGTGATGTATATTGCATAGTTTCTGAGTTTAAATGTGTTGCAGGATTGCACGCAGCAGGTCCTTGTTCGTTTCGAGGCTACGCCCCTACGTTTACCCATTAGTATTTTCTATGAAGGCGAGTCAATTGGATATCGAAGCCTGGAGAGAGAGGATAGATAAGGCCTGGTAGTGTATGGTGCACAGCTGTCGGAGTTTACCGTGTTATACAGTTATGCGCAGTAGGTCTTCGTTCGATCCGAGGCCAGGCCAATAGACAAATTTGCAAAACATTTTATTTGAAAGCAAGTCGCCAACAGTATTTCGAAACTAAGAACTAGAGGATAGATGCAGCCTGGTAGTGTATGGTGCACAGCTGTTGAGTTTATGGCATTCCACATCCAGCGCAGCAGGTCTTCGTTCGATTCGAGGCCAGGCCAATAGAGGGGAGTTCAGAAATATTTTTTCTTTAAAAGCAAGTCGCCAATCGTATTTCGAAACGCAGATATCGAGGAAAGACAAGGCCTGGCAGTGTATGGTGCACAGCTGCGGAGTTTTGACCATTCGATCCAATCTATGCACATCTGCGCAGCAGGTCTTCGTTCGATTGCAGGTCTTCGTTCGATTGCAGGTCTTCGTTCGATCCGAGGCTGGGCCAATAGACAAATTTGCAAAACATTTTATTTGAAAGCGAGTCGCCAATCGTATTTCAAAACTAAGGACTAGAGGATAGATGCAGCCTGGTAGTGTATGGTGCACAGCTGTTGAGTTTCCCACATTGATGTTGTGTTGTGCAGCAGGTCTTCGTTCGATTCGAGGCTAGGCTAATATGCGTGGCGGTGTATCTTTTCTTTGAAAGGAAGTCGCAAATCGTATTTCGAAACCCATAGATAGAGAATAGGCAAGCCCTGGTAGTTCAAGGTGCACAGGTGCTGCGGCTATGGAAGCACTCATAAAGTAGGCTTGCTCTCAGCAACGCGTTCGATTCGAGGCCAAGTCTTGTATGTAACCCTTCGATTTTAATAATTCTTGCGCTAGGAGCAGATAAAGAGCGTTGTGGAGGAGGGGGAAGAAGGGCCTGGTGGTGTATGGAGCACACCCGCAATGAATTCTCGCCCAGGTATAAAGTACGCCAGCGGTGGGACGTGGTTCGATTCCGCGCCAGGCCTGTATACCTGGCTGATGAGCAAATTTATTTTGAGAGGTTTTTCTTTATTGTTGGCTTTTGAAGGTGTATCTGAAGCTCTAAATTACGCAGAGCATCGGTCTGCAGAGACCTGTGAAGTCAAGGAGACATTGGAAGGAGGAGATATTGAGTGGGTTGTTGTCCTCTATTGTCCAGCACGTTTGTTCGAAGGCGTCACGTGGTACGCACAGGAACTGATTGTCGGGATTCGGGTGGGTGCGTATTTTTGGGAAGCTGCCGAGAAGTCGAACGAGGGAAGTTGGGGATTCGAAGGGGGAGAATATAGGAAGAGAAGGAAGGGAAGAGGGGAGGGAGGGGTTGGAGTAGAAGAGAAAGAAGAGAGGTCGGCTGTGGATGAGAGGAGGAGGAAGGAGGCTGGGAGGCACCGAGGGCGCTCAGGCTTATTCTGGTTGAACTTTGAAAAAAAGCGAATGTATGTAATTGAGAAATGAAAAGGTTCCATTGCAGGATGGGATGCCGCCGACTTTCAAGGCACCGAGGAACTAGCGTTGGGTAATATAGACTGGCGGGTGACGATTTGCGTGCTGTCATAAAAGGCAACAGCCACCGAGTTTGGTAATGATTTGGAACGGCGAACTGGGTATTTATATGTTGTGTGTTGAACAAGTTCTGATGGTTATGTCAGAGAGTGAGGGAGGGGATGATTCAAGTTTGCAAGTCGCCAATCGTATTTCGAAGCGAAGAACTAGAGGATAGATAAGGCTAGGTAGTGTATAGTGCACAGCTGTTGAGTTTACCGCATGGCGTGTACAATTTGCACAGCACGTCTTCGTTCGATTCGAGGCCGTCCAATAGCTGCGATTGCCTCTCTTTTCTTTAAAAAGCACGTCGCCAATTGTATTTTGAAACCCAGATATCGAGTACAGATAAGACCTGATAGTGCAAGGGGCACAGTTGCCGCATCTAAGGGAGCGCTCATAAAATAAGCTTGCAATCGGAATCTCGTTCGATTCGAGGCCAGGTTCTTATATGTGCTGCTTGCATTGAATCTTCAATTTTAATAACTCTTGGGCAGGGAGCTGATAAAAGACCGCTGTGGAGGAGGAGAAGGAAGGGCCTGGTGGTGTATGGAGCACAGCCGCCATAACTACGTCTTCAGATGGGAAATCGGCTAGCGATGGGACGTGGTTCGATTCCGCGCCAGGCCCGTACACCTAGCTCAGGAAATTTTCTTTTTAGATACTTTTTTTTATTTAGTTGGATTTTGAAGGTGTATCTTCAGCTCGACATTAGGCAGAGCATTGATCTGCAGAGACCTGTTCAGTCAAGGGGACATTGGAAGAAGGAGATATTGAGCGGGTTGTTGTCACATGTTGTCCAGCGCGTTTATCCGGAGGTGTCTGTTGGGTAGACTGGCGGTAATGATTTGCATACTGTCGTGAAAGGCAGCAACCATCAAATTTAGTATAAGGCTTGGTAGTGTATGGTGAACAGCTGTTAAGTTTACCGCATTCTATGCAGTTTTGCGCAGCAGGTCTTCATTCGATTCGAGGCCAGGCCAATATGCGTGACAGTGTATCTTTTCTTTGAAAGCAAGTTGCCAGTCGTATTTCGAAACGCAGAGATAAAGGATAAAAAAGGCCTGGTAGTGTATGGCGCACAGCTGCGGAGTCGTCCAGTCGATCCATTCTTTGCACATTTGCGCAGTAGGTCTTCGTTCGATTCGAGGCCAGGCCAATGAGAATGAAAATTAGGACTTGCGAATGATTTTTTTTCTTTGAAAGCAAGTCGCAAATCGTATTTCGAAACGCAGATATCGAGGACAGATAAGGCCTGGTAGTGTATGGTGCACAGCTGCGGGTTTGTAATGACACTCTACGCAATCCATATACATTTGCGCAGCAGGTCTTCGTTCGATTCGAGGCTAGGCCAATATGTGTGCATAATATCTTTTCTTTGAAAGCAAGTTTCCAATCGTATTTCGAAACCCAGAACTAGAGGACAGATAAGGCCTGGTAGTGTATCGTGCATAGCTGCGGAGTTTCGCCCAGTCTATCCACTCTATACACATTTGCGCAGCAGGTCTTCGTTCGATTCGAGGCCAGGCCAATCTGCAGATTTAAAGAAGTTTTATTTTGAAAGCAAGCCGCCAATCGTATTTCGAAACCCAGAGATAGAAGATAGATAAGACCAGGTAGTGCAAGGGGCACGGTTGCCGCATCTAAGGTAACACTCGTATAGTAAGCTTGCAATTGGAATCTCGTTCGATTCGAGGCTAGGTCTTGTATTTGTTGTCTCTGTCAATTTTAATAATTATTGGGCAGGGAGCTGATAAAATAGCGCTGTGGAAGAGGGATAGGAAGGGCCTGGTGGTGTATGGAGCACAACCGCGATGAATGATCCGCCTATCCTGAAGGTACGCCAGCGGTGGGACGTGGTTCGATTCCACGCCAGGCCCGTATGCCTAGTTGATAGTACATTTATTTTGAGAGACATTTATTATTATTGGCTTCTGAATGTGTCTCTGTAGCTCAAAATTACGCGGAGCATCGATTCGCAGAGATCTGTGAAGTCGAGAAAATACGGAAGGAGGAAGTATTGAGTGGGTTGTTGTCACATGTTGTCCAGCGCGTTCGTTCGAAGGCATCACGTGGTACGCACAGGGGGGAAGTGAGTTATTTTTGATGACTTATTGTCGGGATTCGGGTGGGTGCATAATTTTGGGAAGCTGCCGAGAAGTCGAATGAGGGAAGTTGGGGATTTCGAAGGGGGAGAATTTAGGAAGGGAAGGAGGAGGGAAGAAGGAAGGGAGAGGTTGGAGTAGAGGAGAAGGACGAGAAGTCGAGTATGGATGAGAGGAGGAAGGAGGGTGGGAGGCACCGGGGGCGCCTACGCTTATTCTGGTTGAACGTTGAAGAAAAAAAGCGAAGGTACATATGTAATTGGGAAATGAAAAGGCTCCGTTGCGGGATGGGATGCTGCCGACTTTCAAGGCACCGAGGGACTGGCGTTGGATACATAGACTAGCGGTGATGATTTGCGTTCTGTCACGAAAGGCAACAACCACCGAGTTTGGTAATGATTTGGAACGGCGAACTGGGTATTTATATGCTGTGTGTTGAACAAGTTCTGATGGTTATGTCAGAGAGTGAAGGAGGGGATGATTCAAGTTTGAGATTTATGGGGAGGAAAGCCAAGGGAGTTGGACATGAGGAGAGATATAGGTTAGAAGGAAGAATGAGGAGATATATAGGTTAGAGGGAAGAATAAAGAGATGTAGATACGGGAGCAGGCCGTAAAGTGCGAAATTGAAATGACAAACATATGGGGGGATGAAATTTATCCCGGCACCGAGGACGGAGGGACGCATCGAATGAACAAAGATAAAGCTTAGGCTACACTCTATTATAGTACAGGATGTTGGTTTACAGGGGCTGCTTGGACGGATGATGATGATGATGGCGTCAGTGCAGGCCGAATTGGCCACTCCGCCGATTTTAGAGTAGGCTGACACCGATTTAGACGAATTGAGAATCCAGAGCACGATTCCATTAGCGTGGATGATTCAATGGGAACGGGATACGGGACGGTGTATATATGGAGAGACTCCTGACGTATCGATGTGATTTAGTTGTAGAGGGAAGAGAATTAGAGGGAAATTGGAAGGAGGCGGGCAGGTGAATGAAGGAATGAACGGGGAAATGAATGATTAATAGGAAAATAAAAGGAATGGGGTACGAAGGGGACGTCTGGAGTACGGATTACTAGTATGGATAGACGAAAGAGGACAGAATGCTCAGCTGGAGAAGGGCTTGAGTGTGTGTGAGATCTGAGATCTGAGATCTGGGCTGGGGTCCGTTGCATGGTTTGGAATTTATGACCGTCAGACAGATAGACTCGACGCGCCTGTGGAAAGTGCTTCCGTGGTGTGCATGAGACGCCTTTGAGCAGTGTCCCGTCGTCGAGTGCAGCGATGAGCAGAGGTGCTCTAGCTGTGCGCCGTGTATCCTGCTTTGGGCAAATTGTGACGTGACTATGCCCTCAACCCCGTCACGGCAGTGTGACTGTTGTGTTGACTCTGCTCTCTCTCTTGTTGGCCTGAGTAACGGCGAAAGTCATACGCGGCGAAAGAAGACGGGCAGCTACGACGGGCGAGTGCTCAGCCAGAGTATTATCCACTGCCATATCTACTGCTGTACCCCCCAAATCCACCGCCGAGTCACCCGCCCGCCCGCATTTCCCGGATCCGCACTGCTCGCTGTGTGCGTGCGTGGTTCTGCAATTTTCAACACACAAGCCACCAATTGCTCTCGGCTCCAGCGGATTGCTGCTGCCAACTTTTCGATTTCCACAACAGAGCTGGAAGCTTGCGTCTATTCACGATTGCGTCGCCTGCGAAAAGGTATGTTCCCGCCTCCTGTCCCGCCCTCCCGTCCCCTCCCTCCCTCGTCCCCTCTTCCCTCATCCCCTCCCCTTCATCCCCTTCGCCCTCTCCCTCCCCCCGTATACGATGACGCTAACCCATCCCCTCCTGCAGACTCACGACACACTCTAACGCCCACACCCCAGGTATTTATCTCCCCTCTCCCCTCATCGCCCCGGTGCACGTGTCCCCACTCCCTCGTGCGCGTTCTCCCCTCCTTCGTTCCAGCGCGCCCCGTCCACTCCACGCGCGTCCCTCTAGCTCATTCGCGCCCAAGTCCCCTTCGTATCACCTCTCCCGTCGTTGCGATGGGCGACACGTCATCCTCTCGTCGTGTTCCCTCTTCATCTTTTCATTCTTCGTTGTTCAACCAACTCACACTACACCTTTCAGATTCGCTCTACTCTTTTCATTCTTTTACTCAAGGAGCCATTGGCGCGTTGATACCATTCGATTCGGTGCGTCTCCATCCTACCTTTCTAGCTGTTCATCTAACTGACTGACAGATAGTGAATAACACACTTTTTTGGCGATAGGCACTCAATTATTTTACTAGCTCGTCTCTGTGCGTCTTCCTTCTTGTTTCCAGCTTTCTATTCCTAATACTTGTACAACCAGACGAGCGCACAAACAACCTACCTCACGATAAACATGAACTCAAACTCGTACCCTTCCTACCCATCCGGGGGGCAGGGCATCAACCCCGCCATGCTCGCGTCGTTCCAGAACCAGAGCGCTAATGCGAATCGCGGCTATGGTGGGGCGGGTGGTATGAGTGGTGGTGGCGGTGGTGGCATGTCTGGAGTCGGCATGGGAGGAATGGGAGGAGGTATGAACGGTGCCATGAGCGGTGCAATGGGAGGCGGCGGAGGAGTGAACCCCGCCCAGCTCATGAACGGCACCTCACAACACCATATTCCACAGCAGATGATGGGTGGTGTGGGTCCTGGTATGGGTGCGATGGGAGGGATAGGTAATATGACCAACATGGGCGGGATGGGAGGCATGTCCATGGGCCCTGGTATGAGCGGTATGAACAGCATATCCGGCATGGGGAACATGGGCGGGATGGGTGGTATGGGAGGCAACATGGGAGGCATGGGCGGCATCAACCCCTCTGCGCTCACTTCTTCCTCATCCTCGTCTTCACATCACCCACAATCGCAGATCCACCCTTCCCAGCAACAATACCCTTCTCATCTATCCCAGTCGCATCCTTCGTCTCATCAGCAACATCCCCAATCGCATCCTTCTCAACAACACCCTTCATCGTCTTCTCACCAACAACATCCATCTCAACATCCCCATCCTTCCTCGCAACACCCTTCCCAATCCCACCCGCAACCCCAACAACAGACCCCGCACCAACAACAGCAACAACAGCACATGAACATAAATATGGCCGCAGCACTGCAAGCCATGGGGATGACGCGCGAGCAGTTCTCGAGCTTGAGCCACCAGGAGAAGCAGGTGATGGGTCAGAAGCTCGTCGTAGTGGCGCAGCAGCTAGGCATGCAGCAGCAGCAAAGGGCGAGGGGTGGTGAAAGGGGTGAACACCCAATGGGAGGAGGAGGAGGAATGGGAAATATAAGCGGTATGGGGGCACCAGGAATGGGACCCATGGGAGGACCAGGAATGGGCGGGAACATGGGAGGAGGACAGTTCTACGACCAACGACCGAGCAGTTCTGCGTCTTCGCATTCGCATACCCAGCAGCAGCAGCAGCATCCGTCGGCAGCGTCTTCTTCTGCCTCTCACCCGGGACAATCCCACCAATCGCAACAGCCACACCAATCCCACCCCGGACAAGGAGGGATGATGCCCCCACCACCCCCTCGCCCCTCCACCGCCCAAGGCATGGGTGGCGGAATGGGCGGATCGAGACCCGGGACGGCGATGAGCCACCGGTCGCCGACGATTCCGGGCCCCGGGCTCAGTGCGCATTTGCAGCAGGCGCAAGGACAGGTGGGACAACAACCAGGTCAAGGAGGGCAGAGGCCCCCCAGTAGGATGGCTGAATTCGCTCAGGTTAGTTCTTTTTGCTTATGGAAATATTGAAGAAGCTAATTATTCATATCGGTTAATACGATACAGCAGCAGAGTATGTTTACTGGAGGTGCTCAAGGAACACCAGGAGGAGGGATGAATGGGTTTATGGGCAGCAAACCACAGACGCCCATCCAAGGACAGGGGATGCAGATGCAGCAGGCACAGAGGGAGCAGATGCAAATGCAGCAGCAGCAACAACAACATCAGGTTCAAATGCAACAGCAACAACAACAGCAGCAACGAGAGCTTCAGCAGCGCGAACAACTGCAACAACGAGAAAGGGAAAATCTACTCCAACAACGCGAACGCGAAAACCAAGCACAGCTACAAAACTCTTCACAGAACCCCTACCCAAGCGGCGGGCAATCCTCGCCTCCGCCGATCAGTATACCCGGCTCGCCTTATCGAGGGGCGAAGCGCAAATTGGGAGGCATGGAGAGTCCAAGGTTGGGTAGTGGTGGGGGGTTACCTTCCATGGGTGGGCCAGGAGCGATGGGCGCTATGGGCGGAGGTCCAGGGATGCCTGGACAAGGCGGGATGGGAGGAGGAGCAATGGGACCCCCTGGTTTACCGAGGAGTATGAGCGGGGATTCGATCGGCGGCGGCGGAGGGGTGAATGGATTCAGCCTGCAGCAACAGCAAGCACAAGCGCAGCAGCAGATGAGCATGCGTCAGAGCCCGCGGCCGCAGTCGGGTATGGGTATGGGTGGGATGGGAGTAGGTGGGCCAGGAATGGGAGGAGGGATGGGCGCACCAGGACCCGTGCCAGAAATGTCCCGCCCCGCGCCAATGCCCCGACAAGCCTCCATGCCTGCTCCACAAGTCCTGCAGCAGCACCAGCCACCGCTGATGAGGCAAACTTCTGTCCCGCCCGCTGTTGGTGGTGGTACGCCTCAGAAGGGTAGTGCTGAGCTTGGAGGGATGGGACCAGGAGGACCGGGGATGGGGATGAAGATACCCATCCCGCCACCTCCGACGGATATGAT